CCCCCCCCCCCCCCGGCGCGCCCCCGAGGCGTGCCTGCCGGCCCGCTTGTGTGACGTCCTGCCGGGCTCTCTAGATGGTGCCTGCTGCGCCCGCTCAGCCCGGCCCCCTCCGGGTTCGTGCTGTCTCCCCTGGGAGCAAGAATTTGCGCGGGGCCGCGGCCCTCCTCTTGTTTGCGGGGCTACGCAGGCGCGCGCGCGGGGCCGGGCCGCACGCCCAGCGAGGGGGCCCGCGACCGGCAGGTCCCACTCCCGGGGCCGCCCCGCCCCGCCGGAAGGATCACCGAGCCCCCGGGGCGGGTGTGTGCACGCTTGCCGGTGAGAGCCCCGGCTACTTGAGAAATCGCCCCGAGCACATCTGGCGCCCCCAGCCCCCTCGCACCGCTCCGCGCGCCGACTCTCGACGCCCCCTCTCCCAGCCCCTCTGTGCCGCGCTCCCTCCTCCCTCCCCCCCCCCTCACACCCCCCTCTCGGCGCACCTTCACCTCCCTCCAAACTCCACCCCCTCCCCCCCCCCGTGCGAGGCCGATTCTCCTGCTTGCACCCACCTCCACCCTCCGGCCACAGTACGTCCCCCACTGCCCGGGGGGGCTGCCTTCATCTGCCCGCTCTCTCCGCTGTGCACACGCACTGGCGCCTCCCTCCTGACACTTGTCGCTCATCTTTCCCCGCTCCCTCCCCCCCCCCTTCATGGCTGCCTCTGCAGATGTCCTCCAAGTCCGCCTTCGATCCGGACACCTTCAAGCTTCCGGCCAGCTACCGCTTCAAGAGGCTGCTCGGCAGCGGCGCCTATGGCACGGTGTGCGCCTGCACATACACCCCCCCGCCCGGGCTGGCTCCTCCGGCGGCCGCCCTCCCCCAGGATGAGGACGGCGAGGAGGGCAACCCCTCCGGGCCGCATGATGTCGCGGTCAAGCGCGTGGCTCGCGTCTTCGACCGGACCATTCTCGCCAAGCGCACGCTGCGTGAGATCCGCCTCCTGCGGCACTTCCACGGCCACGAGAATGTCACCGGCATCCTGGACATCTTCCGCCTCGGGCCGGATGAGGATGCGCCCCCCTCGGCCGAGCCGGTTCCCGACTTGGACGCCACCTTCAACGAGGTGTACCTGGTTCAGGAGCTCATGGAGGCCGACTTGCACCAGATCATCCGCAGTCAGCAGCGCCTGACCAACGAGCACTTCCAGTACTTCCTGTACCAAATCCTGCGCGGCCTCAAGTACATCCACTCGGCCAATGTGCGTTCGCCGGCGGCCCCATGTGTCCCGCTTCCCTTCACTCCTCCCCTTCGTCGCCTCTGCCCCCGCCGCCCTTGCCCCCGCCTCGGGTCTTTGATCACCTCCCTCCTCGCGTCCATCTCCCGCGCGCGGAACCCCCGGGGGAAGGCCACGAAAAGGATGTCCCTCGCACCTCATTTACTGACCCTCCAATGGCTTCCCCCTCTCTTTCCCGTCCCATTACACAGGTCCTCCACCGCGATCTGAAGCCCGGCAACATCCTGGTCAATGCCAATTGCGAGCTGAAGATCTGCGACTTCGGCCTTGCCCGTGGTCTGGCCGGCCTGGCCAACCCTGACAGTGGCCACCTCATGACCGAGTATGTGGCTACCCGGTGGTACCGCGCCCCGGAGGTCATGCTTTCCTTCCAGGGCTACTCGCTTGGTACGCCCGCCTATCTCCGGGCCTTGTGCCCGGCCTGCCTTCCGTGGGTTGGTTTGCTTGGGGGTGTTTTTTTTTTGCGGGGCACAATCCAGCACTCGCTCTCTCTTTTCTGGCAAGCGCACGCCCGCACACTCTCACACTCACATGTCCCTGCTCCCCCCTCACACGCACACACACACACACACACACACACACAGCCATCGACATTTGGTCCGTCGGGTGCATCTTCGCCGAGCTGCTCGGCGGGCGCGTTCTCTTCCCCGGACGCGACTATGTCCACCAAATGTCCCTCATTGTCAATGTCCTCGGATCTCCCTCGGACGAGGTCCTCACTCAGATTAGTAGCTCTCGTGCGCTGGACTGGATGCGCGGCCTCCCCCGGCGCGAGAGGGTCCCCTTCACCACCATCTTCCCCGGGGCCGACCCCCTGGCCCTGGATCTGCTGGAGCGCCTGCTGGAGTTCGATCCCCGGCGCCGGATCAGCGCTGCCCAGGCCCTTCGTCACCCGTACCTGGCGCTGTACCACGACGCGTCCGACGAGCCGGACTGCCCGTCGCCGGTGGACTTCTCCTTCGAGGCCTTGGAGTCTGTGGCCGACATTCGCGCCGCCATCGCCCGCGAGATCAACACCTACCCGCCCTTCTCCCCGCGCGCGTCCTCCCTCCAGCGCAAGGGGTGCGTGTCTCCTTCCCGCGCCTCCCACTCTTCCTCCTGAGGCCGCCCCCCCCCCCGCCATGCTTCCACCCTTCTCGCGGGCATTCGCCTCCCTCGGCGTCCTTGCGGCTGCCATCATGGCTACTGCTGTTACTGCTGTCGCTGTTGCCTTTTCCCCCTCTCTAACCGATATGCCTCTTTTCTTTTGTTGCGCCGCTTGCCTCTGCACCGACATCTCCATGCCCGTAGTTCGGCCAACCTTTCCGGTGCCGCCATCAAGTCGGCTGCCGCGGCCGCCGCCTCCAATGCCAGCATTGCTGCCTCCAAGGCTGAGGGCACTGATCCGATCGGCGCGCCCGGGTCCCTGGAAGAGGAGCTGGCCAACCAGTTCCACCATGTCTCCATCTAAAAAGGAGCAAGGCACCTGTGTTCTCTCGATCGCGCATCGGCATCCTTCTCCCCTGTCCCGACTCTTCCCTCTTCAGATTTTATCCAGGGGGTGGCCTCATGGCGCCCTCTCTTCCCCCACCTCTTTCCCTCCCCTCCTCCTCCCTCCCTCTCCCCCCTCCCCCCCTCCCTGTATCAATAATGCGAAAGCCGCGGCCACCGTGCCACTCTCTCTGCACACCCCTCCCCGTGTCCTTTCTGTCTTGCTTCGTCTGTCTTGTGCGCATGTGTAGGCACATGTCAGGGATGGCTGATTCACCAGCGTGCCTTTCCCTTTTTCGGAGGAGTTGCATTCTGTGTGCACTTTCGCTGCGTGTGTGTGCTCTTGCATGTCCGCGCGCGCCTGCTGCACCAGGGGGCGAGTGGGGCAAATGGGCAAGCGGCCAAAAGGGACAGAACGATCTATCACACCCACCGTGGCATCTGCCCCTGTTTCGACAAAAAAAAAAAAAGAACCCGCCCCCCTCGCTCCTGCCTTCCCCACCAGCGGGGGAGGGGAAAAAATTGGCAGCACCGGAGCAGTTCGTTAGACGGCCACACTGCTGTCCCCCGCCGCCTCTCCTCCGTTTACTCACACACACACACACACATGCACACGTATCTCTCTCGACCAAAGGTGGCAATGCGCGACAGGGGCAACGCAAATTCAGGAGAAAAGGGACAGGCGAGAGGCATCTATTTGGTGTATCGATAACATGGATCAAATACACACACACACATCCCAAGACCTGGTGGCAGGTCCGATCAGACGGTGGGAAGGATGGGTGAGCGTGTGTGCCACGCAGCCGACGGTGCCGTTCCTCCACGCACGCACGCCGAAAACTGGGGGCAGGGCGTGAGCTACGAACCATGGGCTCAAGTGGATAGTAGGAAGGAAAGAGGGAGAGAGAGAGGGAGAGAGAGAGAGAGAAGCGGGGGAAGGGGGGGGGGGGGGGG